ATAGAGTTAGATTGTTGCTAGCCCTTGTGCAACTATGTAAGGGGGAGGGAGTAAGGAATCTCCTCCCTTTTGCCTGACCTACACAAGGGCTGTCCTGAATTGTAGCCTGTTCTGTTCCTGAGAGCATCTCACTGAAAAAGGTAGTGGGCGGAGCCAGTGCTACATCCCCACGTATGCAGCAGCCAGCAGACATGAGCATTCAAATTGGGAAGAGTAAACTGCACGTTTTAAAGGTCTGTGGTGCATTATTCTTCCACTCCCTGAGCATTTGGGGAGCTCTGGGAGAGGTAGAAATTCTATCTCCCTGAAGTAGAAATCTTCCTGATGCTCCCTCTGCAGCAGCGCAGCTCTGTATCTGTTTCTTTGCAAAAAACAACACTTGTCCTGTGGCCTGTTTGTGTAGTGTGTCCATTCAACTCCCCCGCCCACCCGCCAACAGCAGGATTTTGGCTAAATACTATAGTTTAGCCCAGGGATTTCAAACAGAATCTGAGTCTGCAGTGCAACCTGCCCATGAAGAAATGCTTCCATGCTGAAAAAATACTACATAGACCTTTGCTATGATACACATTTGGGAACTGACCTAATAGAGTGCTGACCATTCTCTACACCCATTGGGCCCTTAGAACTACAATTAGTAACATAGCTCCCAGCATTAGCAAAAATACTACTGTAGCACACCAAATGGAGATTTTTAAATGCAAGCAGATCTACTCTCATAGCAGTGTAGGTGCAAAAATCCCAAGAGACTTGATGGGAACTGTATTTGTGCACCAATGAGAGAATACTTGTATTTGATTCCCACTTGTGAGTTAATTGTGGGTAGTCTCTTGTAATGTTTAGAGTTTTGTCTAGCTACCTGATTTGTGGGGGCAATCCATAGTTTGACATAGAAGAGACATAAAATATACCTGCAGTGTTTAAAAACCACAATGTATTTGTAGGCACAAAATGTAGTCCATTTCCTAAAACCAGAACCTAAATATTAATGGAGCAGTATTTGAAGAGGTTGTTATTTAGAAATAGTTTTGGAAAAAGCAATTGAAAATCCCCAGGCATCCCATCTGTGTTTAAAGCAACAATAATAACAAAACTTTAAATTAGCATAGGAGATTTAAGGCATTTCAGGAAAACATTGATTAAATCTGCCAATGAAATGAATGTGTTTGGCGAGTGACCTAATTAGTGTATATTTGGTTCTTTTTCACTGCACTGCTTACCACTAATTGCTGTTCTGCTGGTCTTCTTCTGACAAGTAAGAAAAACAAGGATGAGGGATTTGTTGAGGAAACAGTGACATTCAGTTTTAATTCATTTGAACCTGCTGCCAAGCTTAATTATGGAATTGAGAAACTGAGACCAGGAGGCCCCCAGCTGTTTAGGTTATCGGAGACATAGATGGTTAGTGTCTGCCTGTGTGTTCAGGTAGCGCTTACTGAAGCAATCCATAAATTTATGCTTGCTGATGCTTAGCTGTTTCGTCCCCCAATAGGTATAGGCTCACCACTTGTATCCCTTAAACTTCATTATTTAGCTTTGATGGCATCAAGCCAAAGAAAATTACAGTCCTTTTATTTCTCAGAGGAAAGGATTGGCAATGATTATGGATAGTCTCGTCTTGTTGTTTGTGATTGCATTTACGTGCTAGTAGTACATGTCATTCTATAAAACCAGGCACCCACCCATTTAGTTCTAGTGCTGGATGGCCAAAATCACCCTGGTGTAACTACACTGAAGTCAAAGGACTTACAGGGATGAATTTGGTCCTTAGCCTTTAAGGGAACTTTTCAGTAGGTGGTTTGTTTATTTTTTAATTTAGAGTATGTTAAAAACAAAAAGGAATGAGATTTAAAAAAAAAACAGTGAAAATAGATTTGTTGTGTTTGTTGCGTTATTATTGTTGTTTCATTTTTATATGACAGTAGTAGCTAGGAGTCCTAATTAATCATCAGAGCCCCATTTTACTAGGTGCTGAATAACAGGAAATAAATAGAGAGCTGACTGTCCAAGTTTATGGCTAGGAGCAAAAAGGTAGGGAATGGAATGTGGGGATAAAAGAGGAAGGGTGTTTCTATAAGATATATACAGTCACTTTACTTTGTGAGTGCATGACACCTGAAAATGAAACTGCGATTACATTTATAAACAAAAGTGAAATAGACCAGCAGAGTCACTGAGGCCTGAGAGATGTAGTTAGGCCAACCTAAGCCCCAGTGTAGACACCAGTAGGGTCAGTATCCATCGATATAGCTACTGCCTCTTGAGGGAGTGGATTTACTACAGTGATGGAAAAACCCCTTCTGTCACTATAGCAAATGTCTACACTGCGGCATAGCTGCAGCACCATAGCTGTGCTGCTGTAGTGCTTGTAATCTAGCCATACGCTACATTTTAACTGCCAACGTAAATGGTGAGAAGGATATTAACATGTCTGCTGTTATGCTGCATAGCATTGTAAAGTCTTAGAAGGATGCTTGAATGCTGAAGCAGCCTGGGAACATGGCTTGTAGGTGATTGCTCTTTGGATTGCTTTTCAGCCTTGCAGTGATTTTGCCCTGATGTTCTGTGTGGGGTGGAGGAATGTTGAGAGGTGAAGATAAGAGGAGTACTTGGAATGTGAATTAACTGGAGGGAAGGAACAATAACAACTTCACAATTATACTAACATCATTAATGAAAGTACAGTATATATAATGAACAACTGGCTCTGGCCAAAGGCATACAGTTTTTGCCTTATTGACTTTAATGGGAGGATATGATTCTATAACCACACTCAGGTATTTTGTGGTCATTAGAATAAGCGTATAGAAGCTATTCATACAATTAAACCTTGTGGACTGACTTAAATCTTTATTTATTGATTGACTACATTACATATACCTGCTATCTATAGTGTGTTCTCTCAAAACATCCCAAACCTAGAGATGCTAGTGTAAATTTACTGGTAGAACTAAATCGGATGCACACACTCTTTTTCTGTATAACATTGTGTAGACAGTCTTATTAAAAATCACTTACCTAACACACATGAATCCTGCAATATAAACCCACTATAAATCTCCAATTTTGCCATTCCCAGTTTTTACAGTGTCAACATCTAAAAGATAGGTTTAGCATTTCTCTCCTGCACAAAGACATGAACATGTCGAGATAGAGCACAAGATGCAATCTTCTATCAATAACAAGTACTCCACCTCCTAAGAATAGGTTGGTTCCCATACTCCTTCCAGGCCATCCTAATACCCAATCTGTCTAAGCTTTCATGGTGGTATCTGGCTTCCTGGTGGGCTTCAGGGTCTGTTGGCAGCTTGAGTCAAGTCAGGGGACTTGTATTGTGAGACTGTGAAGTTACGTCTGCTCTTGTCTCCTCCCAGGAACCATTCTCCATTTCCTCTCCTTGACTCTGAGTTTGTGCACTTGTATCACCCCGCGAACAAAGGCTTTGTGGAAATCCAAGGAAGAACCCTGTGTCTTCATGTAGCAGGCTTTCTTAGTGAGTTAGAAATACAAACTTCACAGCTACTCTGCAGAGCATTTTTGAGAGCACTGTGAAACGCACTGCTGGGTGTAACAAGTTCATTGCAGCATAACACGCTGAGTGAGAGGGAAGAGGAGGAACCAGAGGGGAGAAAATTAAATAGTTAATTAAAAACAAAAACCAAAGCGATAATTGAATTCTGTTGCACTTTTTCATGGCAATGTTGTGGAGCATACTGTCACAATGCACCGTTGTTCCAAAGGCTTCCCTAGAGGTATACTGATGTTCTAAATCAATTTTTAAAAAGTACAAAGATTAGGAGAAAACAGAACAGAGAAATTCAGGAATGGAGGACGTTATTAAAGCAATGCCTCAAAATCCTTCTTTAGTTTCTTAGTACTTTTTTTTTGTAGTAACTCTCTTGGCTGTTTTTGTTTCTTTTTTTAAAGCTTAAAACTTGGCAAATAAGATATTAGCGTGAGAGAAACTTTGGGTAACAGATTCTTTTTACATTGGACTAGCCATTGCCTAGAGTGAGGCATGCACATCAAAAGAGTCTTCAGGCTTTGGGTGGTGAGGTGTTCACATACTCTTTTGGCAGAGTGGGGTGGAGAACATTAATAGGGGAAAGGCGGGGGTGGTCACACATTATCAGGGGAAAGGCTGACAAAAGAAATAAAAAAACCTGATACAGCAGGAAATCCACATATTTGTGGCTGCCTACTGTATTGTACTTATTGATCTAGTAAATGGAGATGATGGCAGAGGAGCCGTTATGCTATAAACATGCTAGTGCTAATATTATTAAAGTTTACCGGCAATTTGGTTTCAGCCCTGCAGTCTGCAGGGAGGTGAGCTGTGGTTGTAAACTCTCTCTAAGAAGCATATACCTGTGTTGTAACGTCTTAGAAAGATGTGGGCTGGAATATTTTCAGAGGACTCTAAGGGAGTTAAGAGCCCTGGGGCAGATTTTTAAAAGTATTGGGAGCTTTTGTAAATCTCCCTAGGCACCTATATGCACCTATAGGCACTTCAATATCTGAATGTAAAAGTCTGTAATTCAATAGGAGCCGGATGCTTAACGCTCTTATGTTCCTTTGAAAATCCCAGCCCTGGTCACCAAAGAAGAAAGGATTGCCAGGGGCTGTGTGGGGGGCAGAGGGGAGTGAGGGAAGGGTAATAATAGGAAGTGTATTGTACAAACCAGCTGACTAATTTGATAAACCAAGCTATTGAAAATAACTGGGCTGTAAAGCAGCCATTTTAAAACTGAAAGATTATCTCCCCATGTCTAGCCTCGCTGAACTGGGTGCTCAGAGAGAGTTCCCTGAAGCAGTCCTTTGATAGAGAACTAGCCATTTCTTTAAGTACCATTGATTTAAGGGAAGTGAAGATGAAAGGAATACAGACGTGGCGGCTGCTGAGTGTCAGGAGAGCAGTCGGTTAGAAGAATCTGAGAAGAGTTTGACAAAAAATGTGAGGTTGTTTATAGATATTAACGAAGACTTCTGTATTTTTTTAGGCTATGGTTTTGTAGATTTTGACAGTCCAGCAGCGGCACAGAAAGCGGTAGCATCTCTTAAAGCAAATGGCGTTCAGGCCCAGATGGCAAAGGTAAGAGCAAGTTTTTTGTTTCTGCTTTCTTTCCCTGTGTTGTGATGGTGTTATTCAGTCTGTGGAGTGCAAATGCCAAGGGTTGGGTTGGTTTCTTTCTTTCAAATCATCTGAACTGGCAGGAATCTGGCTTGTTTACTTCAATGCTTATTTGTCTGTTGGCTCATCAGTGTTCTTGAGAACTGTGTTCTGTATGGAAGTTATTTTGTGATGTTCTATATAGCCTGTTGAATTCCCTTAAGAACTTTATAAGCAAACAGAGTTTGAGTTCTATAGCAATCAGGAAGATACCTTAATCTGTGGTGCACTGGGTAATTGCCTATTAATGTGCCTTGGAATACTCTTCATTTAATAGCCTAGTGTGTCTGTTTGGAGGAGTTAAATGACTGAATTTAATGAAAGTTTGTTGCATCTGTATTTCTTTAAAGAAGTCTGGCAACCTGGTTCAATTCCATTGACATAATTTAATAATGATTGTATCTGGAGGTCACTGGATTATGTTTTTCAGAGGTTTTGTGAGATTCACATTTGAAATCTCCCAGCAATTTGCTTGCTTTAAGACCCAATTAAATGGGAACATGCAATTGGATGAAATACCGCCTTCGGTGAATTGTCCTATATCAACATGAAGGGGGTTGTTGTGAAGAGTTTGTGGTTTAGCATAAACTCCAACAATACCCATTCTGTATGTGTAATAATTTTTTCTTCCCCCAAGAGTAGTATTAGATACATAGTAAATGCACTAGTTTGCTAGTCATCTCAATGCACCTAACCCATTATTCATCCTCTTTCTTATTACTGCTGGGCCACCATTCCCGATTAGTTGTCTCATCTACCATGAAGGCAGCATAGAGTGCTCAGAATCCTAAAAAATTAATCTCCAACTGTAAATTTGAATATTCCCTTTAAGGAATTTGGTGGATTAAAACTAGGATTGCCACCTTTCTAATTGCTGGTAATCAGGCCCCCAAGCCTCTACCCATTGCCCTGCCTCTTCCCCAAAGCCCCACCCCTTCTCTGCCTCCTCCCTCAATGCCATGCCCTTTCCCCTCTCTTCCTCCAAGGCCCCATCTCCCTCACTTGCTCGTCTCACCCCCTACCCCTGTCACTCACTGGATTGTCTCCACCTCCCTCCCACAACTGGGCTCCCTCTGCTTCAGGGCTAGGATGGGAGCAGCTGGAATCTGCCGGCAGGTAGGAGACGGCCCCGGCTGAGCAGGGGCTGGCGTGGGTTAATGACCCAGTACCTCTCCCCACCCCACGGTAACTGGACTTTTGGTGTCTAATCAGTACCTCTGACCGGACACTGCCAGGTGCCCTTATGGACTGGACTTTCTGGTCAAAAAACAAAAAACCCAGGCACCTGGCAACTCTAAATGGCACCTGGACACACAAGCCAAAAACTAGACTGTCTGGGTTAAAGCTAGATGGGTGGCAACCCTAATTAAAATCCTAACTTTAAATTTTACCTATACACATTATTACCATGCTAGAAAAAGCTATGCAGTACATGAGGCTCATGTACCTGCTACTGAATTGTAAACCATTGTGCCTTAAAATAACTGTTGTAAGGCTCCTTGTTGTCCTCTTTAATAGAGTCCCACAATGCAAATTATACAGTTTTATTGGCTCTTAGTTTTTACTGACATATTGTAATAAAAATATTTGCTTCAAATAGGAAAAAATGGCAAAATAAGGCATCTGAATGCCTACTGAGGATCCTGGGATTTTATTTCCCTGATACGCTATGTTTCCTTGTTAAAATATAGGAAATCTGAGACATTTGTTGACCTCTGAAAAGAAAACCAAAGGCAAGAGATATGTTCTGTGGTAAAGGTTGATCCTGAATAGCTGTTTCTGGGGGATAATCCATAATGTATGTATATCTGGTTATTTGAGGCAGAACAATCAAGTTGCATAACGAGGAGCAATAGCAGAACTCTTGTGCTGGAAAATAGCAAAGGGAATGTGTTCTTAAAATGCAGATGCTCGTGTCAGTGCGGTACAATATTACATTTCTTTAGACTATTTTGCAAAGCCAAGGGATTTGAGATGGGATATCTGTGGCTGTAGTGGTGTTTTTCCCTTTCCTGGTTTTGTGGAGATTGCTATATACCTTTTTGTGTGTATTGGGCTTATTGTATTTTTAATAGTTAGCCAAGGTGCCTAGAGTCCTGGAATAAGATTTTAAAATATTTTGTATAAGTCAAAGTAAATATACAACTGAATGTTTCTCCCACTAGAAAAAATCAGCATATTTAGAAAACTGGGGTTTAAAGGAAAGTCAGCTGACTTCATACAAGTTAGTACATCATACAATAGAACCTCAGAGTTCTGAACACCTCATTTGGAACCAGAAGTACGGAATCAGGCAGCAGAGACCAAAAAAAAAAAAGGCAAATACAGTACAGTACTGTGTTAAATTAAAACTACTAAAAAAAAAAGAGAAAGATTTGAAAAGGTAAGGAAACTGTTTCTGTGCTAGTTTCATTTAAATTAAGATGGTTAAAACAGCATTTTTCTTCTGCGTAGTAAAGTTTCAAAGCTGTGTTAAGTCAGTGTTCAGTTGTAAACTTTTGAAAGAACAACCATAATGTTTTTTTCAGAGTTACGAACAAGCTCTATTCCCGAGGTGTTCATAACTCTGAGGTTCTACTGTATTACTGAAAAATCAGGAGCCTGGGAAAGGAAACCTATGCTAGGGCTTGCAGATGTTAGAAGCCAATTTGCATGACAGACTGTAAGAGAATATTATCTGCCAATCTTTGGGACTGGAAGAAGTTGGAACAAAGATACAAGAGAAGAATTTAACCTCCGATAATGGAGACTCTAATCCAGGGAGCCTGTCTTTGACCTTCATTGAACAGTGGACATTGACTCCCAAATAATACCAAAATAAAAAAATAAAATGTCAAAGAAATTATCAAAACCTTTTGTGTGCGGTATTTATTCATCAGTATGCCAAATGCCGTATAGAAGTGGGGTAAAACTCGCCCCTGTGGAGAGGGCCAGATGCTGTAAGTCCTACCTAGTCCTATTTTGAAGGTTTAAATGGAACTTAAGTAAGGAGTGCCTATGCTGGCCCTCTATAGGGGTGAATTTCGCTCACAGTGAATAAACATACATTGAAACTTTGAGTGTAGCATATATTATTTCACTCTTACTGGAGATAAATCTGACTCAGTGTCAAGACTGTGAAAGAGGTTCTCTCTAGTTTTTTTCTGAAGGAAATCTAGAAAATCTTATTTGGAAAACGAAATGCAGTTTCCTGGGGATTGAGTCATCTGTATCAGTTCAGTCAAATATGACAATTATTCATCCTACTGATATATAAACAGAGCCACCTCCCTGGTTTTGACCATTAGTTTGCTATGAGTTCTAGCATTTGGACGCCTCTTTGGCTGATTTTGTTTCAAATGGCTGCCACTGAAACATGTCAAACGCTAATGGATTGATGTTCAATGTTCTCTCACTATTGGAAAACGTGTTCTATCAAGATTAACACAGCAAGGAGCCATTTCTACATTATGTTTCCAATGAATGAATTAATATAGTTAAACTTGTTTTTATTTCTAAGTTTTGTTCCCTCTTGGTAAAATCCACCCTGGTGTAGAGGGGTCAGGCAGGGGCGCTCTACACAGCCTCTATGCTATGGAGGGGATTGTGCTAAGAAAGGGGCCAATATTATATCCGCTGGATTTCAGCTGGAAGCACAGAGCTACGGTCCAGTGAAACATAGAAATCCTTCCAGAGAGCATAGGATGGACTTCTTCTTTATCAAGGGTCCTGTCTGGAATATTAAGTACATTTGCCAAGTAAACATTTTTACTAATGCTGCTACGCCTAGTACAATGATGTAGTTTTTTATACTTAATTGGAGAGGTATTTTTTTCCTCTGTTTTCTTTATGTATATTTTGTACATTTAAAAAAAATCCATGTTTGCTCTCAGTGCATACTGTGACAGGTTTGGTCACAGAGACCCCCATGGGACTGTCACCTGATGTGCTGAGATTACCTCTGAGCCCGTTTTCCCTGTCAGCTTGGGACTCCAGAACCCTGTCTTGTTGAGCCAGACATGCTAGCCAGATGCAACACAGACCCAGGGTCTGAACCACACCCCCACGCTGCAGGCTTTAAGTGAAAATAGCTCTGCAGGTTTCCTGCCTCCAGCACCAAGACACCCAGCTCCCAATAGGATCCAAACCCCAAATAAATCTGTTTTACACATGTGCCTGTGAGACCTCATCCTTCTTTACCCAGGGGCTGGCCCACACATACACAGGGAGGCTTGTAGGTAAATAAACCATTTACAACCAATTGTCCTAGTCAATGGGAGCCATCAAGATTCTAAACCACCATTAATGGCCCACACTTTGCATAATTACAATAGGACCTCAGAGTTATACTTCATATTCCTAGCTTCAGATACAAGCATGATACATGCATACAAACAGGATGAACACACTAGGTAGATTATAAGCTTTGTAATGACACCTTACAAGAGACCTTTTGCATAAAGCTTATTTCAGTTGCATCATATTCACATTCATAAGCATATTTTCATAAAGCATATGAAGTTCAACATCACACATAGCATAAATATCAGCAAATCTATCGTAGTTGAAGAAATGCTTAAACAGAGAATGGCCTATGTGCCTGGGACATATAAAAGCAAGGAACATGCTATGAGAAATCTAGTGTAATACCTCTGAAGCACCTAGCATTGGCCACTGTCGGAAGACCGGACCATGGGCTAGATGGACCATTGGTCTGACTCAGCATGGCTGTTCTTATGTACACAGACAGATGCTTATACATACATAGAGTTGATGGGATTCCATTGCAGTTGTAAGAGAGGATTGGGGCCTGGATCTATACCAAATATCAGCCAAAGGGATAACTCTCTTTGGCGTTAGCAAAGTTTTAAAATATTGGTTTTTTGGGGGATTCAATCTGCCTCTCTCTGTAGGATAGGCTGATTATTACCACTACCAAAAAA